TATACGGAATATATTTCTCTATATATATTAGCTCAACCTAAAATATGATTTAGCCCACTCAAACTTTGCCTCTAATCCATATTATTATTATAATAATTAAATATCACCAAGATATACAACATAACAATATCTACATTATTGCATTAAAAATGATTTTTCATGATGACACATAAAATGTTAAATGCAAATTCATGTATCAACCTTCTTCCAAACACCTGATTTTGTTGTCATTGGAGCTTGACTATAAGATTGCAAAACGTAATTAAAACATTAGAAAATAAAGTAGACATGGACATAACCATAAAAGGAGAAAACCTCTTTAAACATTTCAAAGTTTAATTAAAAAGAATTTTAAATGAAAAAAATTATTTATAATATGAAGAAAAAAATTTTAAAACAATTTTCGAAAAATATAATAAAAACAAAACAAATTAAACAAAAGAAAGTTATGAAAAAAAAATAAAGAATATATAAATATTATTTAATTAAAATTGAAAAAATTAAGTTTTATCATAAAGATAAAAGAATTAAAAAGAATTTCAAAATTCTTCTTTCATCATGGGAGCAAAAACGATGTCATATTGCTTTCAATCATTTCTCCATTTTCACGAGTCACTTCACTTCAATTAGGGTTGGCAACGGTTCGGTTATGGGTCGGTTCGGCCAAAACCATAACCGCACCACCAATTTTTTGACCATACCATAACCGCACCATAACTACGTAAATCGGTTCGGTTCGGTTCGTATCTCGATTCGGCACAGTTCGGTTCGGTTATTAACCACGAAAATAAATTATTTTTTATAGGTTCATCCATCAAATTGATAAAAAATAATTTATGAAAAAAGTCAATGAAAACAAAAACACAATATTCCAAACGAAAATGCAAACATTATCAAACAATATTTCAAATGAAAATACAAACATTATCCCAATTTTCAATTGCAAAATACAAATTTAACAAACAATATTATAAATATAACAATATTAAACTTTTCCTTCATTCTTAATTGTTGTGCATTGAAGTTACTTGATTCATTCTTCCTTACAAATCTTACTAGTATAGATCAGCACTCAAAGTTAATTCGTATATAGTAAATAAGAAATGTAAGGAGAGAATACAACAATACTACCTATTCAGAATGGTCTTAACTAATATTAAAAAAAATGTACATCTTCATCAACTTCCTTTTCGCTAAACGTTGCACAAGCTCTAGAGTATGATGAAGAAGTAGAATTTTCTGCATACAATAGAAAAAAATTAATAATAAAATGAGCCGTGCGTGAGTTTATGGTTTGTGGAGAATAGGGTTTGCATTTATATAGTATCATACTAATGCTATTATTATGGGCTAATGGTAAGTGGGCTGGCCGGATGAGTCAAGTAGATGTAATGGGGGGATTTTATTTTGGGTTAAATAGAAAAGTAGTGTAAAACCCAATAATCAAATCAATTCAATTGTGTGTGTCTTTTTTTTTTTTTTTTTTTTTAGCGGGTAATCGGTTCAGTTTCGGTTCGACGGCGTAAATATCATACCCGCACCATCATGAACCGGTTTATTAAAATCAAAACCATACCCGCCCCATTGCACCATCGGTTCGATTTTTTTCGTCCCATTCGATTCGGTTAACCGCGGTTTTTAAATTTTGACGGTTCAAATTGCCATCCCTAACTGCAACCATAACTCCACTGCAATATTTTTCCATTTTCACACACCACTTCACTTAATCCAATCCAATACTAATAAAGAAAAGAAATTAAATGAATCAACAAATAAAAAAAGAATTGTAGGCAAAAATAGGGGGAAAAAATATTATTATAAAGTTTTTTAATTAAATTGAAATAATTAAATTTAAAAATAAATATTATTTTTTAATTAAAACTGAAAAAGTTAAGTTTTATCATAAAACGAAAAGAATTAAAAAAAATTTAAATTGAAAAAATTATTTATAATATAAAAAAATTAAAACAAATTTCAAAAAATATATAATAAAAACAAAACAAGATTAAGAAAATTAAATAAAGAATATATAAATATTATTTAATTAAAATTGAAAAAAATTAAGTTTATCATGAAGAGAAAAGAATTGAAAAGAATTTTAAATCGAAAAAAAATTATTTAGGATATGAATAAAACAAATTAAAAAAAGGAAAAAAATGAGGGGGAAAAAAAACGAAAAACAAAAAATCTCCAATTTCCCTCCATCCCAAAGAAAGTTTTCTCCGTGGGATCCAAGATGTAGCCATTTTCTTCATCCTGGATAGAGAGAATCCTCTCCATCCAGAATGGAGCATCCAGGACCAAAACCTCCATCCAGGATAGAGGTTTAGGAAACCCCCATCCTGAATGGAGAAAAAATCTCCTACCATGATGGAGGTACTCGAAAACCTCCATCCTGGATAGAGGTTTGGCCGGGATGGAGGTGTTCTCCATAAATTTCCATCCAAGATGGAGAAACTCTCTATCTTGGATGGACCCTCTCCATCGAGGTTGAAGAAATTCTCCATTTTCTCCATACTAGATGAAGATAATTTCTCACGGAGCTAATGTCTTTGTTTTGCACGAAAACTTTCTCCGTGCAAGCTCCAACATTGGCAGGATGGAGAGAATCTCTCTATCCAGGATGGAGAATAGATGTAGAAACTCTCCATTTTCTCCATCCTGGATGGAGAGAGATCTCCATTTTCAGTGATTGCATTTTGATGAATTTTATGTACTCTTCGCACAGCGCGAGACTATAACAAATTAATCCATTTCAAAATTGGTAAATGAAAACTACAATTAATCCATTTTAAAATTGGAAAAAAAGAAAAAAAAGTTCTCAAAAATCGTTCGTGCTTCGTGCTGAACTCTCTACGCAGCATAGAGAAGCGTGCTGCTCTAAATCCTACAAAAGGTCATCACACATAAACAAGACTATACGATACTTTTTTCTTTCTTAACATTGTCCATCCAATCTACCTGATAAAACATGCACAAAATTTACAAATTTTCCACTATTTCTAGATCTAAGAAGACATGTTTTCTATGAAATATGCAAGAAAAAGGATATTTTAAAATTTAAAATGAAGTGGGAGAAGAGCACAGACTTGGGTATTGGACTAATTATTCCAGAGACAAATTTTACCCTAAACGCATCTCCTTCTTTGAGTCCATCCAAAACCAACACAATCTACTCCTTTCTCTTAATCTCGTCCAATAATCAGTATTCAATCTCCAGGATTGGCCTTCTGTATCCCTTTAATACGAAAGCAAGTGTAAAATTTACAAGTATTTCTTGCCGTTCGTTGAATAATTTCTAAGTAAGAGAAATTAATTTCAATGGCATAGTTCTTACAAAATTATTCCAGGAGCTAGAATTTACCATCATCTCGAAGCTATATTTGAACAAAACTAATACCATGCTCATTTATGCAAACCTAAAACGAAACGCGATAATCAAATGAAAATTTAAGAAAAATGATGGTTAAGTCAAAATCAGATGAAGATAAATCACACACAGCACACACTTAGTGATTGATAAACAACATTTATCTATTATGTGTAAATTTTAAGAGAACCATAATACTGGACACTTAACTTACAGACGCGCCTACAAAGAAATTCTTCTCCTTCAAGCTTTCAACGGTTTCGTTGATGCTTTCTTTAAGAGGTCTTCTTGTTTGGAATGACAAATTTGTTAAAGAGGCATGGTCGATCATGTAGGAAAATGGAGAAAGGGTGTTTCTTTGTCAGGTTGACGTGAATTGAGAAAAGGTAAAGGCATGGTTGTGCTAAAATATCCTGATTTTACTAATTTTGTGTGTAAAAAAAAAATGAAAACAAAAGAGGGAAATCAGTACAAGATGATTTATATTTTTGACACTTGTCCACCCCATTCATTCACTCTTTTATATATGTAGGATCCTTCCAGATTAGCAGTAGTAAATAAATTATGTTATGTTTAATTCAATATCTTTAATTGTAGCTGTGATTTGTTCTCATTAGTATGATTTGTAGGTAGAAATATTGAACTGAGCAGGTCCAAACTATGTTTATTAACAATCTAGACAAGACAGTCAGGCTTAGTGAAAAATGTTATTTACCAACTTATTGGTTCTTGTCAATTCAATTTGACACTCCTACTTATAGCCCTTTTTTTATTTTTATTTTTTTTCCTTTGCATTATGAATTAATACAGTTAATTAAATTAATATATAATATTTTCCTTTGTTGCCTTGCTCAATCTTATGTATACACCTATATTGTACCAAATGTTGCTCAAATCATGTATCAACTACTAATGCTTCTAGGGAGATGATATGATTGTAGTAAAGTAAAAATAAGAATGGTCGTGAAAGTACAATTACTAGCTATGTTAGCATGCATTGTTGATCACAACCGATTTAATCGCTGAAGAAATCTTTGGCTCGACTTTGCCAGACCCTAGGCATGAGTTGGGCGTTGAAGTGTGCTGCAGCGACGACAATTGACATGAATGTATCATTATTATGTAAACTTCATTTTATTTCACTTAGTCCTGATCTCTTGCCTTAAGCGGGCAGAAAAAAGGTTTTTCACCGTTGACGTGATAAAATAACCTATTATTTCACTTTATCAAGTGAAAAATAACAATAACTGACTTTGAATTTACAAGAAAAAACACACAAATCCTCATAATATATACAAACAAAGAAAAGGTAAAAGGGAGAAAAATTATGCCTTTCTTCCTAGATAAAATCCACCCCAGATACTACATTGTCAATTAGCTGTAATCTATGATACTGATCTTTTACTTGTTAATATCCATACAAAACCACAAACCGGCCAGACGGCAATTTAAATTTGTTTACTTAGCCAACTTCCCATTTCAGAAATATCATTGACTCAGTTTTCCTTTTACATACCAAATCTCATGCACAAAAAAGATTCAAGGCACTGTAAAAATCGGTTGATTCATCGACTCATCTTGGCCTCAAATGCTAACAAATGTGCTGATTGCATCAATATTCTTCACCAAAATGCCTAAGTTCTTACGCTTTTGGATTTTGATTTTTCTGATTAGGCCTACATTTTCTCAGCAACATTACGACAACTCGGAATGCAATTCAGAAATGCAGTATCCTGGTTCAAACTACCTCTGCAATGCTCATAAATCTTCGTGTGAATCCTTTATAGTCTACCGCGCGCAAAAACATTATCAAACACTTTCTTCCATATCTTCTTTGTTCAATACAAACACATCCCATCTCAGTTCGTACAACAAAATGTCCCAAACTGATCCGAACAATATCCAGCACGGTCAAGAAATCATCGTGCCCGTTAACTGTTCTTGTCCAGACCGCTTCTCCGAGGCTTTCTTTTTATACAATGCCTCTATCGGTGAATCTCTGTCAGCAATTGCCTGTGAAGTTTACGAAGGATTGGTAAAAGCACAAAGTCTAATAGAAGAAAACCAAGAATCTCGAGGGGATAAGCAGAATTTCTATCTATTACGTGTGCCAGTAAAATGTGCTTGTGTTGATACTTCTGATGCAAGAAATGGAACAAATTTTCTTGTGACATATCCTATTATCAGGAATGACAGTATAGATAAAATAGCGCATAAATTCGGAGTTCCTCAAGAAATGATCTCGGATGCCAATAGACTCGGACATTTCGATACTGTATTTCCTCTGACAACACTCCTCATTCCCACAAAAGATGTCCCAATTCTCAACTATGATGTCATGTCTTCACCACCGGATCCAAATCCTAGTCCTCGACCAGAAGTTCCATTGAATAATAACATTCCAAGGGCAAAATTGAAGAATCTGAAAGCAATCCTTGGGGTGGTTATATTTGGAGCAGTTCTAATATTCATTGTTAGCGGGATTCTAATACTTGCTCGGAAGAAGTTTGATCGTCGTAGATTTGACACTTCATCTAGTCAAACATCAAAATCATCAGATTTATCTCCCGAATTTCTCCATGATATGTCGAAATTCAAACTTACATTGACATGTTACAGAATGGAAGAGCTAAGAGTTGCAACTGAAGATTTCGATGAATCTTTAGCAATAGGTTCTGCAGTTTACAAGGGAAGAATCGGTGATATTGATGTGGCAATCGAGAAAATCGATTCAGCAGCAGAAGGAAATCATGTAATTTCCATATTGACAAAGATCAATCACATAAATGTGGTAAAGTTAGAGGGCTGCTGCATTGAGTCGAGCCAATATCTCGTGTACGAGTTCGTCAACAACGGCAGCTTGAGGGACTGTTTATCGAATCTCACGATGGCTAAACTGCTAACATGGGATAGGAGGATACAGATTGCTTTTGACATCGCCGTGGGGATACACTACATGCATTACTGCACAAGGCCTAATTATGTTCATCACAACATAAGCAGCAAAAGTATCTTGATTACAGAAAATTGGAGGGCTAAGATTTCAGGGTTCAGACGAGCAAGATCCAGGAGTTGCATTGAAGAAATGAGAGGAACTAGCAAGAATGACACGACTGTCGATGTGTATGCATTTGGCATGATTTTGCTCGAAGTACTATCGGGTAAACAGGTCACAACAAATGGGATGTCATTTAAGGATTTTCTCGAGATTTTAGCTGGTAAAGAGCTTCAAGAATCGTCGAAAAGCCTGGAGAAACTGAAGACATTTATGGATCCTGTAATGGAAAAGTATTACTCATTGGAAGGTGCTGTATTCTTGGCATGCTTGGCCAAGGCTTGCTTGCAGGAAGATCCATTGGAAAGACCTTCAATGAATGACGTGCTTAAAGTTCTCTCCATCATTTTATGAGGGAACAGGTCTACCATGTTTAGTTATGCTCTAAAGTAAGCTGTACTCGACCAGGAAAAGCTCTTTTACATAGAATCAAACATTGGCGTTAATATGTAATTTTGGCAAATTATTCTGGTACCAAATTGTCCAAATGTGTTGCAGTGTTAGATGATAATTCTTATAAGATGTGAGACCTACTTTAAGTGTAGATAATAAGTGAACAATCAGTTTATAAACCAGCTTAAATTATAAACTTCGCCAAACATGCTTTGAGAGTCACTTGAACCCCACTAAAACCCATCTGTTTTGGCAGCCTTTTTAATTCTCTGCTGCGAACGCCCCAGGTTGCTCTAGCAATCAAATGAGCATCCAGTTCGCGGACAATCAAACAAGAAACCTACAGTTGTAATCAATCAATCAACGATGGACATTAACGAAAATTTCTGAAACAAAAATATAAACATCTTGAAAATTAAGATATTATGTCAAGAACAGTACAATTTCAGTTGTCAAACCACATCCTACTCATTTGGAGCTTAAAAATTATAAATCTAAGACGTGTTAGCATTTCGATTAGCTGGTCAGAACATGTACACGCCAGAGGCAATCAACGAAGCATTGTCAGATATACATTTCTTGTAGAAGGAATCTACTTTTACATTAGTTTCTCTACTGGATAAAATTAAGGCAAACACCATGCACCACTTCACTCAAGTCTGGGACCAAATAAATCACTGCACACTGCAAGAAACCATATGCGCCTCATCCTCAGCCAGAAGCTGCATTAGGCCAGTTTTCTCAGAATCTCCTTAGATGATCCTTGGTGAAGAAAGGATGCCTAAGAGCCTCACAAGCTGAAAACCTTTCTGAAGGATCATACCTAAGAAGTCCTTGTAATAGATGAATAAGATCTCCTGCGGAATGATCTACATGCTGCATAACAAGGTTTTGAAGGCGAGGCAATTTCAAAACAGCTTTGATACTATCTCTAGATGGCGCTCCTTCCGGCCAGTCTAACCTACCTCTTCTAGTATATTTCTCTGCATGTCGACTGGGAAATAATAAAGATTTAGCTACTAACCATCTTTTAACAATATAATTAAATAGAAGAGTAATATCACTTACTCCGCTCTTTTCAACATGTGCTGGGGTAGAGGTCCAAGGACCCTCTCCATCATAGCAAGGTGTTCCAAATTCTCGTGCGTTTGGAACAATGCTTCACCCTGGCATAGCATTCAAGCCAAGTCACTTACTATAATAATGAAGATAAGATAACAAAACCTATTATATATCCCAAAATTTAAGGGGACAGCATATATCTAGCTTACCGAGCAAAGCTCCACTAAGATACAGCCAACACTCCACACATCACAGGGATAACTCCACCCAAGTCCTGTGGAGCAAAACCAACTTAAAAAAGTTAAATAATAAAAAATAAATAAAGCCTTGGACTAATTCCAACGTGTGTATTCATAAATATTTTTACCTAGAATAACTTCTGGAGCTCGATAATGTCTTGTAGATACAGTGTACGTCTGATGCTGCTTGTCATAAGCTGTGCTACCAAAATCAATTACCTTAATAGCACTACACTTCGGAATTCTCTTGTAGTAGGAAGCACTCTTTGGGGACCTTGACGAACCCTGAAAACAGTAAATTACTGTGAGAATTACCACAACATATATTACCAGACAGAGAGGCAATATCTGAAAAAGCCTTAACTCTAAAAAGGAAACCCAAGTTTCTATTTGATTCAGCAAAATTTTCAAGTACATAATTGTCACACAACTGACTACCTTGTAGTCAGGAACTTTTATGTATTCCGATGAGACTAGAAGAATATTCTCAGGCTTCAAGTCAGTATGGATGAGGTGCAAATCATGCATAACTGCATATTGCAAACATTCAACATTACAACACAATGAGAAAATAAGGTATATATAGAATATGTTATATTATAAGTAGAAGTCATCCAACTCAAGGCAATCCTATCATTTTCACAGATCTACATTATAAAGAATTTTTTTATCTTAAACATGTACGATGGATGAAGAGACTATTTACACACATGCTACACATTCCAATAGTTGTCTGCCAATCTCACGAACTAGATCAATGGGAAATGAGCGATAATTGTTTTTGCGTAGAAAATCGTATAAGCTTGGCCCAAGCTTCTCAAAGACCTGTTAAAACCATCGGAGTTCATTCACAATCTTAAGTCTCAAAATATTTGTTAAGTTGGGGAAATTAATCCACCAAATCAATCGCACTTACAATACAGATATGGTTACGATAGTCAAACCAGTTCCGTAATTGTACACAACTGCAAGGAATAAACACATTCAACTACTGCAACAATTTAGAAAAGCCAGGAAGACCAGCTATATGTAAAAAAAAAAAAAAAAAAAAAAAAAAAAGGGGAAAAAAAAAAAAGGACTCACCGATTGCCGCCTATGTCATGCCTTCCAAGTTGTTGGAGCACCTCTACCTCAATCATTGCTGCATCACGATATTTTCTAATTCCACGAACAACTTTAATAGCAACCATTTCTTTTTTTTCCTTATCCCAGCACTCTAGAACCTGGCCAAAGGTCCCTGCCAAAAAGAAAAAGTTCAGCAACCAGTAGAAATAACAGCACCGCATGGTACCTAGAAAATTTGTTGAAATAAGAATAATACCTTCACCCAGCTTGCTGTGAATTTTATCTGCAAATATACAAAAACAGTACTATAATTAGATAATAGGAAATCCATGGGGTAAATTGGATGATTCAAGATCCAAAAGGAACGCCAAAAATCATTGTGTATTTTCATCAAAAGAAAAATAATTATTTTGAAATTTTATATAATTAACCACAGACGCTGCACATTTAGATATGTACAAGGAAACAGAAAAAAGTTCATAAAAAAATAAGAAAAAAGAAGAAGAAGAAGAGAGACATTAAGGGGGGGAAATCCACCCATATGGTCCACAAGAAAAAGAATATAAATATGAAAAATTGGTTTGATGATAGTAAAAGGTAGTTACAGCGAGAAGTTAAGTTTTCTCCAAGCTCAAACTTATAATGCCCATCCTTGTCATCTTCTCGCCACTGAGGAGAACCATTTTGTGCCAGGTCCTTAACAAAGAGAGAACTAGGAAGATCTGATATTGCGCTTGAAGGTGCATTGCTTGTCACATTACAAAGCTCTTGTCCACAAAATAGTCCTAGCTGAGCCTACACAGGCATTCATTCACATTTCCTCAATATAAAAATTTCAAAATTTATTTACCTCCAGGACACCACCTTCCATAACGAAACAAACAAATTTCATTCACATTTCCTCAATGTAAAAATGTCACGATTTATTTACCTCCAGGACACCACACCACCTTCCATCACACCACCTTCCATAACGAAACAAACAAATTTCATTCACATTTCCTCAATGTAAAAATGTCACGATTTATTTACCTCCAGGACACCACACCACCTTCCATCACACCACCTTCCATAACGAAACAAACAAATCCCTTTCATCATCAAGCATCAAATTATAGCCATATTGTCAAGTACTATTCATCAATCATCATCTCACACTCAAAAACAAAGATATATCTAGAATCATCATCTATTATTATCATGGTAAAGAAATCCAGGGGTTACTTTCAGAAAAAAAAAAACAAAAACAAAAAAACAAAAACACACTAAAATGTACAGTCATACGTTTAAAACTTCAGAACTCATGTAACCAATTCTACAATAATTTCAATCAATTAATTTAGCAATTTAGATTAAATTCATCATAATTGCCAAATAACAATCATATGATGAAAAAGGAGAAATATAATAGAACAATGCTTATCTGTTTAATATTGTCAACATTAATCTTGATATCACCCGAGGAATACTAATACATAAACACAAATATTAATATAACCCTACACTTTCACTATCAAGAAACCAAGAATTATTTCTGATTTAAATTTCTTTTACAAGAAGATCAATGAGTACCCAAATTAGAAGATTTCTACCAAAAATTCCTGATTTTTCATAACATAAGGAAGCATTAACATATATCTTTTGCATAAACTGAAAATCAGAAATATAAAAATGATTTATTTATCCAAGAAATTTCCAAACTCGTTATTTTATACGTAAGTTAAATATATTGATTACAGATTCACAGTCAGATGTTGATTAAAATTTCAAAATCAGATCAAGTGAGAACCTTAAAAAAGATAACCAGATTCCAAACAATCAATTATATCCTACAAAATACGCAATTAAATACACAAAAATAACTATTCTTTCATACCTGATCGATTAAAGTTCTAGTTTTTCACCAGATCTACAGAAAACCAAAAGAAAACAGAAAAAATCTGAACAATACAACATTATATCTGAAAATACCTTAGGAGATTCCAGAGGTAAAACGTCCCAACCCAAACGCGGCCTCTTCCTCGGTCGCCGATCCATCGTCAACTCCATCACACGTTCCATTTCCATTTCAGAATACATAAAAATCTTGTGATATGAAATTATCTAGAAAGAGAAAGGTTTGGCTCCTTCGAGAGAGAGACTCTGGAATTTGATAAGATAATGCGTTAGCACGACGCTACCCCAAATCTGGTGATGAGTTGGCTGAGGGTAATCTGATCGTACACGTGGCTTTTTTTTTTCTTTTTTAATTTATAAAAACCCTTGATTTTTGATATTCTCAGCATATTCGAGAATATTGATAGTCCCTTTATGAAAAAAGGTTGAACCCCAATCTTGAGGTTTCTATCGTCACATTCCTAGAATTTTGTGAGGAAGGTAAATCGCTGAATGTGCCTCAACAGGTTAGAGAATAAGAGTTGCATGTACACTGTGTCTTCATTTTTTTTTTTTTTTTTTTTTAGCGGGTAATCGGTTCAGTTTCGGTTCGACGGCGTAAATATCATACCCGCACCATCATGAACCGGTTTATTAAAATCAAAACCATACCCGCCCCATTGCACCATCGGTTCGATTTTTTTCGTCCCATTCGATTCGGTTAACCGCGGTTTTTAAATTTTGACGGTTCAAATTGCCATCCCTAACTGCAACCATAACTCCACTGCAATATTTTTCCATTTTCACACACCACTTCACTTAATCCAATCCAATACTAATAAAGAAAAGAAATTAAATGAATCAACAAATAAAAAAAGAATTGTAGGCAAAAATAGGGGGAAAAAATATTATTATAAAGTTTTTTAATTAAATTGAAATAATTAAATTTAAAAATAAATATTATTTTTTAATTAAAACTGAAAAAGTTAAGTTTTATCATAAAACGAAAAGAATTAAAAAAAATTTAAATTGAAAAAATTATTTATAATATAAAAAAATTAAAACAAATTTCAAAAAATATATAATAAAAACAAAACAAGATTAAGAAAATTAAATAAAGAATATATAAATATTATTTAATTAAAATTGAAAAAAATTAAGTTTATCATGAAGAGAAAAGAATTGAAAAGAATTTTAAATCGAAAAAAAATTATTTAGGATATGAATAAAACAAATTAAAAAAAGGAAAAAAATGAGGGGGAAAAAAAACGAAAAACAAAAAATCTCCAATTTCCCTCCATCCCAAAGAAAGTTTTCTCCGTGGGATCCAAGATGTAGCCATTTTCTTCATCCTGGATAGAGAGAATCCTCTCCATCCAGAATGGAGCATCCAGGACCAAAACCTCCATCCAGGATAGAGGTTTAGGAAACCCCCATCCTGAATGGAGAAAAAATCTCCTACCATGATGGAGGTACTCGAAAACCTCCATCCTGGATAGAGGTTTGGCCGGGATGGAGGTGTTCTCCATAAATTTCCATCCAAGATGGAGAAACTCTCTATCTTGGATGGACCCTCTCCATCGAGGTTGAAGAAATTCTCCATTTTCTCCATACTAGATGAAGATAATTTCTCACGGAGCTAATGTCTTTGTTTTGCACGAAAACTTTCTCCGTGCAAGCTCCAACATTGGCAGGATGGAGAGAATCTCTCTATCCAGGATGGAGAATAGATGTAGAAACTCTCCATTTTCTCCATCCTGGATGGAGAGAGATCTCCATTTTCAGTGATTGCATTTTGATGAATTTTATGTACTCTTCGCACAGCGCGAGACTATAACAAATTAATCCATTTCAAAATTGGTAAATGAAAACTACAATTAATCCATTTTAAAATTGGAAAAAAAGAAAAAAAAGTTCTCAAAAATCGTTCGTGCTTCGTGCTGAACTCTCTACGCAGCATAGAGAAGCGTGCTGCTCTAAATCCTACAAAAGGTCATCACACATAAACAAGACTATACGATACTTTTTTCTTTCTTAACATTGTCCATCCAATCTACCTGATAAAACATGCACAAAATTTACAAATTTTCCACTATTTCTAGATCTAAGAAGACATGTTTTCTATGAAATATGCAAGAAAAAGGATATTTTAAAATTTAAAATGAAGTGGGAGAAGAGCACAGACTTGGGTATTGGACTAATTATTCCAGAGACAAATTTTACCCTAAACGCATCTCCTTCTTTGAGTCCATCCAAAACCAACACAATCTACTCCTTTCTCTTAATCTCGTCCAATAATCAGTATTCAATCTCCAGGATTGGCCTTCTGTATCCCTTTAATACGAAAGCAAGTGTAAAATTTACAAGTATTTCTTGCCGTTCGTTGAATAATTTCTAAGTAAGAGAAATTAATTTCAATGGCATAGTTCTTACAAAATTATTCCAGGAGCTAGAATTTACCATCATCTCGAAGCTATATTTGAACAAAACTAATACCATGCTCATTTATGCAAACCTAAAACGAAACGCGATAATCAAATGAAAATTTAAGAAAAATGATGGTTAAGTCAAAATCAGATGAAGATAAATCACACACAGCACACACTTAGTGATTGATAAACAACATTTATCTATTATGTGTAAATTTTAAGAGAACCATAATACTGGACACTTAACTTACAGACGCGCCTACAAAGAAATTCTTCTCCTTCAAGCTTTCAACGGTTTCGTTGATGCTTTCTTTAAGAGGTCTTCTTGTTTGGAATGACAAATTTGTTAAAGAGGCATGGTCGATCATGTAGGAAAATGGAGAAAGGGTGTTTCTTTGTCAGGTTGACGTGAATTGAGAAAAGGTAAAGGCATGGTTGTGCTAAAATATCCTGATTTTACTAATTTTGTGTGTAAAAAAAAAATGAAAACAAAAGAGGGAAATCAGTACAAGATGATTTATATTTTTGACACTTGTCCACCCCATTCATTCACTCTTTTATATATGTAGGATCCTTCCAGATTAGCAGTAGTAAATAAATTATGTTATGTTTAATTCAATATCTTTAATTGTAGCTGTGATTTGTTCTCATTAGTATGATTTGTAGGTAGAAATATTGAACTGAGCAGGTCCAAACTATGTTTATTAACAATCTAGACAAGACAGTCAGGCTTAGTGAAAAATGTTATTTACCAACTTATTGGTTCTTGTCAATTCAATTTGACACTCCTACTTATAGCCCTTTTTTTATTTTTATTTTTTTTCCTTTGCATTATGAATTAATACAGTTAATTAAATTAATATATAATATTTTCCTTTGTTGCCTTGCTCAATCTTATGTATACACCTATATTGTACCAAATGTTGCTCAAATCATGTATCAACTACTAATGCTTCTAGGGAGATGATATGATTGTAGTAAAGTAAAAATAAGAATGGTCGTGAAAGTACAATTACTAGCTATGTTAGCATGCATTGTTGATCACAACCGATTTAATCGCTGAAGAAATCTTTGGCTCGACTTTGCCAGACCCTAGGCATGAGTTGGGCGTTGAAGTGTGCTGCAGCGACGACAATTGACATGAATGTATCATTATTATGTAAACTTCATTTTATTTCACTTAGTCCTGATCTCTTGCCTTAAGCGGGCAGAAAAAAGGTTTTTCACCGTTGACGTGATAAAATAACCTATTATTTCACTTTATCAAGTGAAAAATAACAATAACTGACTTTGAATTTACAAGAAAAAACACACAAATCCTCATAATATATACAAACAAAGAAAAGGTAAAAGGGAGAAAAATTATGCCTTTCTTCCTAGATAAAATCCACCCCAGATACTACATTGTCAATTAGCTGTAATCTATGATACTGATCTTTTACTTGTTAATATCCATACAAAACCACAAACCGGCCAGACGGCAATTTAAATTTGTTTACTTAGCCAACTTCCCATTTCAGAAATATCATTGACTCAGTTTTCCTTTTACATACCAAATCTCATGCACAAAAAAGATTCAAGGCACTGTAAAAATCGGTTGATTCATCGACTCATCTTGGCCTCAAATGCTAACAAATGTGCTGATTGCATCAATATTCTTCACCAAAATGCCTAAGTTCTTACGCTTTTGGATTTTGATTTTTCTGATTAGGCCTACATTTTCTCAGCAACATTACGACAACTCGGAATGCAATTCAGAAATGCAGTATCCTGGTTCAAACTACCTCTGCAATGCTCATAAATCTTCGTGTGAATCCTTTATAGTCTACCGCGCGCAAAAACATTATCAAACACTTTCTTCCATATCTTCTTTGTTCAATACAAACACATCCCATCTCAGTTCGTACAACAAAATGTCCCAAACTGATCCGAACAATATCCAGCACGGTCAAGAAATCATCGTGCCCGTTAACTGTTCTTGTCCAGACCGCTTCTCCGAGGCTTTCTTTTTATACAATGCCTCTATCGGTGAATCTCTGTCAGCAATTGCCTGTGAAGTTTACGAAGGATTGGTAAAAGCACAAAGTCTAATAGAAGAAAACCAAGAATCTCGAGGGGATAAGCAGAATTTCTATCTATTACGTGTGCCAGTAAAATGTGCTTGTGTTGATACTTCTGATGCAAGAAATGGAACAAATTTTCTTGTGACATATCCTATTATCAGGAATGACAGTATAGATAAAATAGCGCATAAATTCGGAGTTCCTCAAGAAATGATCTCGGATGCCAATAGACTCGGACATTTCGATACTGTATTTCCTCTGACAACACTCCTCATTCCCACAAAAGATGTCCCAATTCTCAACTATGATGTTTACGTGTGCCAGTAAAATGTGCTTGTGTTGATACTTCTGATGCAAGAAATGGAACAAATTTTCTTGTGACATATCCTATTATCAGGAATGACAGTATAGATAAAATAGCGCATAAATTCGGAGTTCCTCAAGAAATGATCTCGGATGCCAATAGACTCGGACATTTCGATACTGTATTTCCTCTGACAACACTCCTCATTCCCACAAAAGATGTCCCAATTCTCAACTATGATGTCATGTCTTCACCACCGGATCCAAATCCTAGTCCTCGACCAGAAGTTCCATTGAATAATAACATTCCAAGGGCAAAATTGAAGAATCTGAAAGCAATCCTTGGGGTGGTTATATTTGGAGCAGTTCTAATATTCATTGTTAGCGGGATTCTAATACTTGCTCGGAAGAAGTTTGATCGTCGTAGATTTGACACTTCATCTAGTCAAACATCAAAATCATCAGATTTATCTCCCGAATTTCTCCATGATATGTCGAAATTCAAACTTACATTGACATGTTACAGAATGGAAGAGCTAAGAGTTGCAACTGAAGATTTCGATGAATCTTTAGCAATAGGTTCTGCAGTTTACAAGGGAAGAATCGGTGATATTGATGTGGCAATCGAGAAAATCGATTCAGCAGCAGAAGGAAATCATGTAATTTCCATATTGACAAAGATCAATCACATAAATGTGGTAAAGTTAGAGGGCTGCTGCATTGAGTCGAGCCAATATCTCGTGTACGAGTTCGTCAACAACGGCAGCTTGAGGGACTGTTTATCGAATCTCACGATGGCTAAACTGCTAACATGGGATAGGAGGATACAGATTGCTTTTGACATCGCCGTGGGGATACACTACATGCATTACTGCACAAGGCCTAATTATGTTCATCACAACATAAGCAGCAAAAGTATCTTGATTACAGAAAATTGGAGGGCTAAGATTTCAGGGTTCAGACGAGCAAGATCCAGGAGTTGCATTGAAGAAATGAGAGGAACTAGCAAGAATGACACGACTGTCGATGTGTATGCATTTGGCATGATTTTGCTCGAAGTACTATCGGGTAAACAGGTCACAACAAATGGGATGTCATTTAAGGATTTTCTCGAGATTTTAGCTGGTAAAGAGCTTCAAGAATCGTCGAAAAGCCTGGAGAAACTGAAGACATTTATGGATCCTGTAATGGAAAAGTATTACTCATTGGAAGGTGCTGTATTCTTGGCATGCTTGGCCAAGGCTTGCTTGCAGGAAGATCCATTGGAAAGACCTTCAATGAATGACGTGCTTAAAGTTCTCTCCATCATTTTATGAGGGAACAGGTCTACCATGTTTAGTTATGCTCTAAAGTAAGCTGTACTCGACCAGGAAAAGCTCTTTTACATAGAATCAAACATTGGCGTTAATATGTAATTTTGGCAAATTATTCTGGTACCAAATTGTCCAAATGTGTTGCAATGTTAGATGATAATTCTTATAAGATGTGAGACCTACTTTAAGTGTAGATAATAAGTGAACAATCAGTTTATAAACCAGCTTAAATTATAAACTTCGCCAAACATGCTTTGAGAGTCACTTGAACCCCACTAAAACCCATCTGTTTTGGCAGCCTTTTTAATTCTCTGCTGCGAACGCCCCAGGTTGCTCTAGCAATCAAATGAGCATCCAGTTCGCGGACAATCAAACAAGAAACCTACAGTTGTAATCAATCAATCAACGATGGACATTAACGAAAATTTCTGAAACAAAAATATAAACATCTTGAAAATTAAGATATTATGTCAAGAACAGTACAATTTCAGTTGTCAAACCACATCCTACTCATTTGGAGCTTAAAAATTATAAATCTAAGACGTGTTAGCATTTCGATTAGCTGGTCAGAACATGTACACGCCAGAGGCAATCAACGAAGCATTGTCAGATATACATTTCTTGTAGAAGGAATCTACTTTTACATTAGTTTCTCTACTGGATAAAATTAAGGCAAACACCATGCACCACTTCACTCAAGTCTGGGACCAAATAAATCACTGCACACTGCAAGAAACCATATGCGCCTCATCCTCAGCCAGAAGCTGCATTAGGCCAGTTTTCTCAGAATCTCCTTAGATGATCCTTGGTGAAGAAAGGATGCCTAAGAGCCTCACAAGCTGAAAACCTTTCTGAAGGATCATACCTAAGAAGTCCTTGTAATAGATGAATAAGATCTCCTGCGGAATGATCTACATGCTGCATAACAAGGTTTTGAAGGCGAGGCAATTTCAAAACAGCTTTGATACTATCTCTAGATGGCGCTCCTTCCGGCCAGTCTAACCTACCTCTTCTAGTATATTTCTCTGCATGTCGACTGGGAAATAATAAAGATTTAGCTACTAACCATCTTTTAACAATATAATTAAATAGAAGAGTAATATCACTTACTCCGCTCTTTTCAACATGTGCTGGGGTAGAGGTCCAAGGACCCTCTCCATCATAGCAAGGTGTTCCAAATTCTCGTGCGTTTGGAACAATGCTTCACCCTGGCATAGCATTCAAGCCAAGTCACTTACTATAATAATGAAGATAAGATAACAAAACCTATTATATATCCCAAAATTTAAGGGGACAGCATATATCTAGCTTACCGAGCAAAGCTCCACTAAGATACAGCCAACACTCCACACATCACAGGGATAACTCCACCCAAGTCCTGTGGAGCAAAACCAACTTAAAAAAGTTAAATAATAAAAAATAAATAAAGCCTTGGACTAATTCCAACGTGTGTATTCATAAATATTTTTACCTAGAATAACTTCTGGAGCTCGATAATGTCTTGTAGATACAGTGTACGTCTGATGCTGCTTGTCATAAGCTGTGCTACCAAAATCAATTACCTTAATAGCACTACACTTCGGAATTCTCTTGTAGTAGGAAGCACTCTTTGGGGACCTTGACGAACCCTGAAAACAGTAAATTACTGTGAGAATTACCACAACATATATTACCAGACAGAGAGGCAATATCTGAAAAAGCCTTAACTCTAAAAAGGAAACCCAAGTTTCTATTTGATTCAGCAAAATTTTCAAGTACATAATTGTCACACAACTGACTACCTTGTAGTCAGGAACTTTTATGTATTCCGATGAGACTAGAAGAATATTCTCAGGCTTCAAGTCAGTATGGATGAGGTGCAAATCATGCATAACTGCATATTGCAAACATTCAACATTACAACACAATGAGAAAATAAGGTATATATAGAATATGTTATATTATAAGTAGAAGTCATCCAACTCAAGGCAATCCTATCATTTTCACAGATCTACATTATAAAGAATTTTTTTATCTTAAACATGTACGATGGATGAAGAGACTATTTACACACATGCTACACATTCCAATAGTTGTCTGCCAATCTCACGAACTAGATCAATGGGAAATGAGCGATAATTGTTTTTGCGTAGAAAATCGTATAAGCTTGGCCCAAGCTTCTCAAAGACCTGTTAAAACCATCGGAGTTCATTCACAATCTTAAGTCTCAAAATATTTGTTAAGTTGGGGAAATTAATCCACCAAATCAATCGCACTTACAATACAGATATGGTTACGATAGTCAAACCAGTTCCGTAATTGTACACAACTGCAAGGAATAAACACATTCAACTACTGCAACAATTTAGAAAAGCCAGGAAGACCAGCTATATGTAAAAAAAAAAAAAAAAAAAAAAAAAAAAAAAAAAAAGGGGAAAAAAAAAAAAAGGACTCACCGATTGCCGCCTATGTCATGCCTTCCAAGTTGTTGGAGCACCTCTACCTCAATCATTGCTGCATCACGATATTTTCTAATTCCACGAACAACTTTAATAGCAACCATTTCTTTTTTTTCCTTATCCCAGCACTCTAGAACCTGGCCAAAGGTCCCTGCCAAAAAGAAAAAGTTCAGCAACCAGTAGAAATAACAGCACCGCATGGTACCTAGAAAATTTGTTGAAATAAGAATAATACCTTCACCCAGCTTGCTGTGAATTTTATCTGCAAATATACAAAAACAGTACTATAATTAGATAATAGGAAATCCATGGGGTAAATTGGATGATTCAAGATCCAAAAGGAACGCCAAAAATCATTGTGTATTTTCATCAAAAGAAAAATAATTATTTTGAAATTTTATATAATTAACCACAGACGCTGCACATTTAGATATGTACAAGGAAACAGAAAAAAGTTCATAAAAAAATAAGAAAAAAGAAGAAGAAGAAGAGAGACATTAAGGGGGGGAAATCCACCCATATGGTCCACAAGAAAAAGAATATAAATATGAAAAATTGGTTTGATGATAGTAAAAGGTAGTTACAGCGAGAAGTTAAGTTTTCTCCAAGCTCAAACTTATAATGCCCATCCTTGTCATCTTCTCGCCACTGAGGAGAACCATTTTGTGCCAGGTCCTTAACAAAGAGAGAACTAGGAAGATCTGATATTGCGCTTGAAGGTGCATTGCTTGTCACATTACAAAGCTCTTGTCCACAAAATAGTCCTAGCTGAGCCTACACAGGCATTCATTCACATTTCCTCAATATAAAAATTTCAAAATTTATTTACCTCCAGGACACCACCTTCCATAACGAAACAAACAAATTTCATTCACATTTCCTCAATGTAAAAATGTCACGATTTATTTACCTCCAGGACACCACACCACCTTCCATCACACCACCTTCCATAACGAAACAAACAAATCCCTTTCATCATCAAGCATCAAATTATAGCCATATTGTCAAGTTCATCTCATCAATCATCATCTCACACTCAAAAACAAAGATATATCTAGAATCATCATCTATTATTATCATGGTAAAGAAATCCAGGGGTTACTTTCAGAAAAAAAAAAACAAAAACAAAAAAACAAAAACACACTAAAATGTACAGTCATACGTTTAAAACTTCAGAACTCATGTAACCAATTCTACAATAATTTCAATCAATTAATTTAGCAATTTAGATTAAATTCATCATAATTGCCAAATAACAATCATATGATGAAAAAGGAGAAATATAATAGAACAATGCTTATCTGTTTAATATTGTCAACATTAATCTTGATATCACCCGAGGAATACTAATACATAAACACAAATATTAATATAACCCTACACTTTCACTATCAAGAAACCAAGAATTATTTCTGATTTAAATTTCTTTTACAAGAAGATCAATGAGTACCCAAATTAGAAGATTTCTACCAAAAATTCCTGATTTTTCATAACATAAGGAAGCATTAACATATATCTTTTGCATAAACTGAAAATCAGAAATATAAAAATGATTTATTTATCCAAGAAATTTCCAAACTCGTTATTTTATACGTAAGTTAAATATATTGATTACAGATTCACAGTCAGATGTTGATTAAAATTTCAAAATCAGATCAAGTGAGAACCTTAAAAAAGATAACCAGATTCCAAACAATCAATTATATCCTACAAAATACGCAATTAAATACACAAAAATAACTATTCTTTCATACCTGATCGATTAAAGTTCTAGTTTTTCACCAGATCTACAGAAAACCAAAAGAAAACAGAAAAAATCTGAACAATACAACATTATATCTGAAAATACCTTAGGAGATTCCAGAGGTAAAACGTCCCAACCCAAACGCGGCCTCTTCCTCGGTCGCCGATCCATCGTCAACTCCATCACACGTTCCATTTCCATTTCAGAATACATAAAAATCTTGTGATATGAAATTATCTAGAAAGAGAAAGGTTTGGCTCCTTCGAGAGAGAGACTCTGGAATTTGATAAGATAATGCGTTAGCACGACGCTACCCCAAATCTGGTGATGAGTTGGCTGAGGGTAATCTGATCGTACACGTGGCTTTTTTTTTTCTTTTTTAATTTATAAAAACCCTTGATTTTTGATATTCTCAGCATATTCGAGAATATTGATAGTCCCTTTATGAAAAAAGGTTGAACCCCAATCTTGAGGTTTCTATCGTCACATTCCTAGAATTTTGTGAGGAAGGTAAATCGCTGAATGTGCCTCAACAGGTTAGAGAATAAGAGTTGCATGTACACTGTGTCTTCAAGGAATCCAATTCCATGTCTTAGGAATCGAACCCCCAAACTGCGACTGTCAGAAAGGCGTGGAATAATCTCACTTCTGTCCTTTATACCATTGGACTATGCTCTTGGGAGCTTGATAGTCCCTTTTCTACCATTATTAATAGTAAACGTAAGTGTTGCGCGTCTTATGTACGGAATAAATTATGTGAGTAATACTTTAAAGTAAAGTAATTGATAATATCAAGAAAAATTAAAAGAAGTATGCTATGAGTATATTAATTTTCACAGCATGGTCTACAGCGCACACACATGCAATAGGTGGGATCCGTAATTAAAATAATCACGGACCCCATCTTTGTGAAAAAACTGTAAAAAAAATGCTGTACAATCAACTTTTTCCAAATTAAAATTGCTAGAGAATAAAAGTCTTATGAATATATGAAAATGTTAAATGAATTAAAATATAATATTTTGCCCCTGTTTGATCCCCACTAAATTACATTCTATTTTTCTCTCTCCTATTTTCAATCACACAATCTTCTTTAAAATAATATTACGCATAAATCGAAAATTTTTCCTTCTTTTTCAATCACTCATTTTTTCAACAAAACACTATTCCCCCCATTTTCATTACCAAAAATGGGGGCCAAACGGGAGCTTTGTGTACCTATTTGTTTAAGCCAGACATTCAGTTGGGCACTAGTTTTAACCATTATAGTGACATCTACCAACTTTATAGTGCAAAAAAACACGAAGAAAAGTTGAATCAAGAGATGTACATTTGATTAAATTTAAAATGTCTACTTATAAGTAAACTAAATGTACATAAATGATTTTCAAAATAAAAATTACTCATTTTGTCAGCAACATAAATATTTATACATTAAAAAGTAAAAATAAAAAAGTATCTTATCTAAACACATTTAAAAATAAAATAAAATTACATACTAATCATGTTCATCGTATTAATCTATAGAATTTATTTTAAATTAAAAACCAAAACTACATTCAAAACAAATATATATCTGAAAAATCTTAAAACAAAAGTTTTTCTTTTTCTTTTGAATGAGATTAATACAAATTGAGGAATAAAAATTTACCTTTTAAATGTATTGAGATAAAAATCTGTTTCTTTTCTTTATATATTTATATCTAATAAATAACGAACATGCTATATTAATTATTTTTAGAACATGTAGCCCCTGTTTGAGCACATTTTTATCTAATTAAAATGAAAAATATGATCGTTATCCATCACATCAAACCACCATTTTTGAATTTTTATCTCTGGTGTGGGCCCATAACGGCTCTATTTCTCATTCTCATTCTTATTATAATGTGGCTCAAACAAGCTCGTAGTATTAGTTTTTTTTTTTTTTAATACTTAAAAATTTACTTTTAGTGAAAAATGTGAAATTAAGATAAGAAACTTGTATTTAGTGGGATGGATACAAATATGGGAAAGGTAAATGACTCCTAATTATTGAGAATAATTAGTAAGGTTTTTAAGATTAATGGATAATTTCTCTCATCTTCGACTCTTTCCCTCCTAATTTTATTTTTTTTGAGCATTTTTTCTTTTCTTTTCAACATATTGTTCTTTGTATTTAAATAGTTATATTGTCCTTTATATTAATTAAACATACAATTATATAAGTAGATTAACTTTGATTTTAAATGAAGCTCACATATATCAATAATACAATATATTTACATGTACATATGAAATAATATTATATTATATTAAAGATGGCATTAATGATATATTAATCAAAATTTAACTTTATGTATTCTCCTTTTCATAGGGTTCATTTTTTATATCAGGGTACTCATAATTTTTTATTAATTAAATAAAGCTCTTATTTGAGCCACATTATTTTAATTATAAATTTGCAAAAGCTCATGTTTGCAATTCAAATATTTCCTTCAAAAATATTTTTTATCTTGTGAAAGATTTAGATTAAGAATTTATTCTTGACACTCCTTTCATAGTTCAATTTTACCATTTTCAAATTGATTCAAAAGGGTTGACTACAGATATTTTCGATAAAAAAATTTTTTTGAAATTTACAAACCCTCCTTCTTATAAGTATATAAATTCTTTAAAGAGTTTGAGAAAAATCAAATTTAAAAGAATTGAAGAACAATTATTAAATTCTTTAATTATTGAAAAAAATTCAATTTTTCAAAAACGCATTGAAAAAGAAATTTGTTCAATTATTCCAAACGCCTTTTGGGATGGGAAAAAACATGTTGTTTCTCTTCCTTATAAGACTACAAAAGAACTCAGACCCATGGAGTCATGAGTGTACAATAGCTGTTCAAAAAGTCTGAAAGGCTCTCAAAAATATTTCATGTTTTTCAATTTGAAAAGGGATTGAAAATATCATTCATAATCTTTTGGTTGAATGCAATCCTTTTCATTCGAATACAATAATTCCCAATTGAATTTCTTGAAATCTTCAATCTCGAGGACTTAAAAGGAGTTGTGAAAACGTTCAAAATCCTATTCCTGCTCCTGTTCAAACAATTCCTAATCATATTCTTACCTTTCTTGATTTTCTTCTAGGTTTCAAAGATCTTACTCTTCTTAATTTGAAGATAGACATAGAATTTCTTTTCAATCTGCTAAAAATTCAACATCTTCTCTTTTTTGTGTTGATTTCAATCCAATTATTCCAAAACCTCAATTTAAAGAAAAATATGAAGATTCTGAACAATCAGAATCTCCAACTTTATCTGATATGGTACCTCCTTTAGAAACTTTTGAATATCAATGTAATGTTATTTCTTTAAGAATTGACAGAAAAATTAGTTCAAAACCGATCAAAATCCAATTGTTAAAAACTTTCAAAAAATTGTTTCACAAAAGTTTTTCAAAAGAAGAAAGAAAATCTTATTGGAAAGAATTCTATGAATTCCCAGAAGATTTATGTTTTTATGAGTGTAGTTATTTCAAAGTTTTTTGATTAAAAACATATTAAATAAAAAATACATACAACTACCATTTCAAAAAGGACTTGGAGAACTCCAAATGGAGATACTACTCAATCTTTTCATCCTCCTTTGCAAGAAATTACTATTTTACATGGTAATACTGAAATTCTTGCTTCCTCTCTCAAAAAAATATATAAAAAATGACTTGATGAATCTTAGGTTGTTGAAAAAGATATTAAAAATATTCAAGATCAAAATAATTATACAAATATTGCTCTTCAATCTTTGTGTTCTTGACTCAACAGAATTGAAATAAGTTGTGAATCAGAAGTCACCTCCAATAATTCTAAGAAAGAGTTAAAAGATAGTGATGATAAAAAATCTTCAAATTCAAAAGCTACTATTTTTCATCCAAATAATTTAGTACTTTAATTTGAAAGGGCAGAAACTTCACAATTGAAAACCTAAGCTGATGTTCTCAAAGAACTTTCTATTCAAATAAAAAAGTTATCCGTCCAGAATAATACCAATATAATTCTGAAACTGAAAATCAATTTATTGATGAAAATTTTAGCTCGATTAATAAACTCAAACATTCTTCAACTCTTCCAACATATTATCCAAAATCTACTTATCCCGATTTGCATTTTGAAGAAAAAGCAAAAACTCAAAAGATTTATGATGGTGCAACTAGTGTCGAGTGGAATTTCAATGGTTTTATTGAATATCAAATTATTAATCTTATTGAAGCCATGACTATGTGTTATAAAACATACATAGACAAAGGAATCAATTCAAATAATGTTGTCCATAATATCATTATTAGTTTTACTGGACAACTTGATCAATGGTGGATTAATTAGCTATCTCAAAATGAAAGAGATTCAATACTCAATGCTGACAAAAGAGATGATAATGGAAACATTATCAGAACTCAAGATATTAATGATGGTTACAATGTTTTAGCTTGTACTATTATCAAACATTTCCTTGGAACCCCTACGAATTTATTACAAATTCAAAATAAAATCTTAATGAATTTAAGATGTCCAAAACTTCAAGATTTTCTATGGTATAAATATATGTTCTTGTCTTGTATTATGTTACAAGAAGACTGTCAACAATCCTATTGGAAAGAAAAATTTATTTCTGGACTTTCAAAGCTATTTGATAAATGTATTTTGACTTTTGTTTGGTATTGTTTGTTCAAAAGTTTTGATTACATAATTTTGAGAAGAATCAAATTTTCCTATTTCATAGATAGAGTTTTTCTCATCTTTGGAATAGTCCAATTTTGAAGTCTTTGTTCTATTTGAAGTTCATGTTGATTAAAATCGTTTGATGCAGATGCTGATGCTTGATCTAATTCTTCTTCATTTTGAAAAATATTTGGAGTATTTGAATTATTTTCAGATCTACTAGACTACTACTAGATCTTCGAAACCAATTTGAAATAGAAGACATAATAAAATAAATGAAATTATAATAATTTATCACAATAAAAATAGTTAAATAAGATAGACTGATTCTTACAAAACCTACAAACAAAATCACCCTAACACAGCCTACTCCAGCCTCAACGCGAGCTAACCAACATCTATTTAGCAGACATCCAGGAATCAAATCAGGTTCTCCTATTGAACAGTGCCTATAGTGATAAACCATATGTTCATATGTGTATATACATAATAAAACATATATATATATGTATATATATATATATATATATATATATATATATATATATATGTGTGTGTGTGTGTGTGTGTGTGTGTGTGTGTGTACACACACACATATATATATACACACAC